TGTATCATAAGGTCAGTTCTTATAAACTGTTTATAGGTTTTACGCAAGCAAGAGTCTTAACATGTATTTCTATCCTTTGTATATTACAGGGAGAAAAGAACAAAGCAGGCCAGAACAAAACATATTCCTATAGACACAGAAAACTACCCATAAATACTGGTCCAATTGCCCCTATTACTCTCTGGTTCCCTATCACATAGAGTTCTGTTTTCTCATACTTGATTTTGGTCCAAATACCTTTCTTCAGATTAATTATATTTCCTATAAAGAGCATCTTGGTAGGCCATATATCTTGATCCACTCTGCCTGAGACTCTTAGTTTTTTTCCTTAATTTAGTGTATCTAGACCATCTATAATAGAAATTATATCCAATTTCTCTGCCTCATTTCTGTTATGCTCTTTTTCCATCATTAGTTGTCTGATTGGCTTTTTCATTTCACTTTTTGCTCCATTCATTGGGGCCTCTCTGCTACTGTGAAATCCTAGTTTTTCTCTCTCTTTAGAATGTTCTGTAGTATTCTCTGTAGAGTTGGATTGGTGGTTGTGAATTCCTCCAGTTCCTCTTTATCTTCAAAGCATCTTGTTTTTCCATTAATTTCTAGGGACAATTTTGCAGGGTACATCAATCTGGGATGGAGGTTATTTTCTTTCAGGGCTTGGAATACTTTGCTCCATGTTCTTCTCAATTTGATGGTTTGTGTCAAGAAGTAAGCCATAATTCTAAGGGGCTTTCCCTTGTAAGTAATATATTTCTTGTCTCTGACAGCTTTTAATATTCTGTTCCTATATTAGATTTCTGGGATCTTGATTATATGCCAGGGTGTAGTTCTATTTTGGTTGTAGGTGACTGGATTTCTGTATGCCTCATACATCTGAATATCATTTCCTTTTCCTATGCTTGGGAAGTTTTCCTTAATTATTTCTGTGAATAGCCTTTGTAGTTCCTTTGTTTTTATCCCTAATTCTTTGTTCACATTCTCTATTCTTAAGTTATAGATCCTCTTGTCATCCTCTAGCCTTTTACTCTTACTGCTTGTTTCCTTCTTATTTTTAAGGAATTTTTCCTGGGGCTGGAGATTTGTTTAGTGGCATAAGCACCTGCCTTGCAAGTGTGGGGTCATGAGTTCAATCCCTGGTACTGATAAAAATGAAAAAGACAAAATTTTTTTTTAAAAAGAAATTTTTCCTTTCATGATCCTAAATTGCAAACCTGTCCTCCAGTTTGGATAATCTACCCTTATTTTCTTTCAAGCAGCTTTGCCAGCTTTCAATGGAGTTTTTAATTTCCTGATAATCTCTTTGAACCTCCTTCATGTATTCTATGTTTTCTCTATTTTCTTCATCAATAGTTCTTTTTTGTGTTCTTCCATCTGTTTTTTTCTTGAGAGGTGCTTAGCATTTCTTTAATTATTCTATTCATATCTTGCTTTACTTGGTTAAATACTTCACTTTTGAATTTGTCTACGAGGTCCCGAAGATACCGCTTTATGTCTACTGGTGCCATATCTGATATTGCATGTTTGCTGTCCTCAATCTCCTTTGCATTTACCTTTCCTAGATCAATGTTCTCAGGGTTGGAGGCTAGGGTTCCTTTCTTGTTGCTTCCTCTTCTCATATTTTATGTTCCTTCCATACAGGTGTATATAGGAGGCCCCAGTTTCTTTCTTTGTTGGTTACAGTTTTTCTGAAGTGCACTGACTTGGTGCTCCCATCCACTTCAGTGTACTACAGAGGTGCAGACTGGGGAAGCCTATGCTGGGCCCTCCCATTCAGGTCAGTCAACCTGCTGAGGGTTTCACTGCATTAGGATGGGCCAGCAGGCGTAGGGACTTGGTTTGGACTAGCTTATTGGGTCTCAGTCCGGGACATGACCCAGGTTAAGCACTCCCCACCAATCCCGCTTGAGAAAGGAGCAGCTGACAGAAGTCACTGCAGCTCCTTGTTCTCACCAGTCTTCCTGGTCCTAGAATGTCATCTGTCGGAGCCCCTTTTTCTGTGGAATGGTTCCATTCCTGGCACTCACTGCAGGTTGATGCAGGCTCCCTGCCAGCTCAGCTCAGCTCAGTTCTGTTTGGCAGCTCTCTGCTGACCCCCCACCCCAGTGTGACTGTGTTTCCAGTGGTTGGAAGCAGCAGGAACTTGGATGACTCAGTAAGTCGCCACTGGGCGAGTTCGGGTGCTGCAGTGGGAGCACTGAGCCTTTAGCTGTTCCAATAGTAGCACCAGGACTGTATGTTTGATTGCTTCTTCTTACCTTAGTTTCTTCTTTGGACAACAGGATTCATCTCCCTCTGTTTGGGACTCCCTATGCTGTATTATGTTGAATTCTAAGTTGACTATCTCAGGGAGCCTCTGTAGCCTGCTGTTATCTATCCACCATCTTCTCTTTGACTCCAACTAGTGTTTTTAATTTCATTCCAAACTACAAGAATGAATTTTATCCCCTATTTCATATTATAACAAACTTCAACAACTGTGACTATCATTTTAACCTTGAAATTCACAATAATAATTTCAATAGCTGCTATCAGTTCTGCAAAGAGCAAACTTACTAAATGGAGCCTTGTTTTGCTTTGAATCTGGGGATTAGACTCAGAGATGCAGGAATGTGAGCTAGATAAATACATTACCTGTGAGTTATTCCACCAGATCTACAATTCTTTTTATCATAAAATACACAGCTATTGTTCAGTGTGTGATTCAGGACATGTAAGAAATAATCCCATCTTTGATGCTCAAAACAGAAATGGTACCCATTAGTATGTAATTTCTGGAATGTGGTTCAGCCATTTGGGGCTAGTGCGGAAGTTGCAATCTGGTTCTCTCAGCTTTGTCAGAGCTGCACAATCCATGTCACAGTAAGGAATTCATGTCAGGGAGCACACAGACTTAGACCTTGTCAATGTCACTTCCTACAGGACAGCATGTGCGTCCTTTCCACTGGCTTCCCATGGAAGGAGTGGTGTAAATCACCAAGTACAATGTGATCTGTAGGATGTGACCTTGATGCACTTCCTACTGTATTACATTAGTCACAGCCCCTGCTCCATAAAGGTGTCTGTACACAGCAACATCAGTATATGAATGACAGAAGTTAAGGATTCTCAGGGAAGATGCAGGATGTCATCAGTCTTAATTTTACAGTCAGATAAGCTGTGACCCAGGCACACATCCAAAATTCCTTTCACTGTGAGCAAACAGAACATTTCTACCACTCCTCCTGGAAATCTCCTCAGATTTCTTTCAGTTAATCAATTCACCCCCAAAACAAATAATATTGTATACTGTTTTGAAAATGCAGAGTAATTATGTCTGTTTCAAGAACTCGACACGTGGAAGCAAACAGGATGAAGTCATTGCCATTCAGTATATTTTCCCAGCATAGCTGTGATAATTACATTATTGACTGCAATACCAATGTTTTGTTTTACTTTTAAATTATATTCAACTATATAAATGTTCTAAAGCTTCAAAAAATCATTTAATGAGAGTTGAGTATATTTTCTAGGCTAAAAAAGAAGTTGGTGTGAAAGTCTTGTGTGAGCTTCTCTATCATGTTAAGTTTCTCTACAGCACAAAACCAAAGGTGGACATGGGGTCATAGGTTGAATGTATTTTCATGAGAATCTTCCAGTAGTATTTTCATGGTGTTTGTCATTCCCACACCAGTGTGTGAGAACACAGTTTCCTCTTTCCTTCCTGAGATTTTTCTGTAATTTCCCCAGGCTGGAATGTGCATGGCAGGTATACTTCCATTGTTTTATATGATTGATGCATAACAGCATTGGTGTAGATTCTATCTGGTTTTCCCAATTTATGTAGCCTTTCACTTCAGAGGAGAGAGGACACTCTCAAACTCAGAAATTCCCATCATCAAATCATCATTTACATACTCCACAAATGTCATTTGTCAATTAACTATTTTAAAATTTAAACAGGATAAGAAATTTGAAAAGGGCTACTGGACTGCCAATGCTATTTTTCATATGTAAATGTCTTTGGAAGTAGCCTTGGTGATAAGATGGAATTTCACTGTTTTGTTGCTGTCCCACAAGGTAGGGATCTCAGTGCATTGATTTTAGCACAGAGGAGGTCACGCAAATGAGCAGCATCTGACGTTGTCAGTTGGGAGGCCAAGGTCACAGGTGAAATACAAAAACACTGTGACTCTGTTCTAAAGCTCGGTGAGAAATGCGTGGCCATGATCTACCATGGGAAGCAGTCAACACTTTTCAGAATCTCTCGCTCAAATCAGGAAGTATAGGAAGAAGTTGCACTTCTCAAAGACTATGGAAACAAAGGGAAGTGTATTAAAGGGAAGCTGGGCTGCATAGTGAGCACTGGAAATGGCCAAATAAATCACAAGGGTTTTACATAATTTTCCAGAGGGCTGGGAAGCAGCCTGGGTCTTTGATGGCAGAGGCACCCAGCCCTGCCCAGTATTATCTTGGCTGGGAAACTGTGTGCTCGCCTGGTCTCCTGGGACTAGTTTTGTGCAAGGCTCTTTGGGTGTGCAGTAGGGAGGTCGGATTCTGAGGTCACTGGGAGGATGGTGAGAACAGGAATTTTTCTTAAAGGTAGAATTAAAAAATATGGCCTCAGTGTTTGAGAGAAGTTGCCTGTGATAGTATGGAGTATGCCAAATTTCTTCTCAATATTCAAAGAAATCAATCCTTGCTCATATTGAAAAAGAAAAGTCCCATTGTCAATGGAGAAGCTATTACACTGAAATTGTAATGCGGTAAAGAAAATGCTAAATACTTAGTATCATATCTGGTAATGTTCCAAAAAGCCATTCTCAGGACGAATGTCTTCAAAATGCAATTTCCTATTGAAGGAAACCAAGCACAGGCCTATTGTCCACAATTCACTCTCTCTTACGTACACCTCCTAGTAATGCTGACCACTAAAGAAGCCAGCACAGCTCGCTGAGAAGTAAATCTTCCAGAGAATTTAGGAACAGCTCACACTCTTCACAAATATTCCGTACGCTTCTTACCCTCTGACATGGCGAGCTGAGGGTGAGCAGTGTCTTCATCCACAATTACGTTTTCTACAATAAACGGAGAGATCCCTTACCTCTGGGCTTTAGGAAAACAAGCTTCTCATTCCATAAGCACTGTCCAAAGAGGGGTGAGGAGCACAGCGCAGGGACCCAGGAGTCCTTTCCACAGCCCAGGCCCTCAGCCTGTCCCACTGCAGACCTGGAGATCTTTCCCTCCACGGAAATTTCTCCAAAACACATTAGCTCTGCCCTTGATCTATGCTGTCCTATCGGAGCGTCATAGAACACGTGGTCTCACACCTGGGAAAGGGGTCACCAGAGTCTGATGCTCATGAGGCTTCCCAGGCCCTCACACAGGGGCACCGCATCCACAAGGAGAGAGGAAAACGGCCCCAGAGGCACCAGGACAGACAAGGACATCAGCACTGGGCAGTGGGGTCAGGATGCTCAAGAGAGGACCCCCAGGTAGGGGGGAGGGGAACAGAGAAGGAAGGAGGGGACGGAGAGGAGCAAGCAGAGGCCAGGGCAGCCTGGGCAGGGAGACTGTATTCAGGGCTGGACCTTGGTTAGGGATAATGGGGAGAAGTGAGATGGGAAGCATCAGAGAGAATGAAGAGTCCCCACTACTTAGTAAGGCTCTCTGTAAAGAGAGAGGAAAAACAGTGCAACACGGAGTGAAGAAATTCACCACACCAGTCCCTGCTGACCGCTTTTGTCTGTAGGAGAAAAGCCCTGGCATGTGCAGTGGGGTAGCGAGGCTGTAGGAGCTGGCGGGAGGGGAGCCCTGTCCTGTGCTCAGGGGTCTTGTGGGGCCCCAAGGACTCTGAAGCTGCTGCCCCATTAGGGAGGTGCAGCCCCTGCTCCTGACCTTGCAGACCCCACCCTGGCCCTGAGGCAATCTCCCTGCACCCAGATTCTGACCTCAGTTCATTTCAGTTGATCTCAGAAAAGTAAACAGAACTTACCAGGTTCTTTAGTGAGTCTCCCTTAAAAAAAAGAGGGGGGGGGAGGCAAAGAATATTAATTTTTATTCCCCAAGGAAGTTATCCCTGCCTTTGCCAAGTTATCCCAGTCAGGTGCTGAGTTCCATTCTGGAATCCTCTGGGGCTTGGGTTTTGTTCCCATCCTGGTGCTACTGGGAAGGGCGAGATTTCTAACTGTGGGGCTCAGGGTGGGAAACCCTGGGTCACCAGTACTGCCCACACAGGAGAACGGGGCACCCTGCTCCTCTCAGCTTCTAGGCCGCGTGGGGAGTGGTTCTGCTTGGCTCCAGGTCTGAGGTGACCTGGGAGGAAAACCACAGCACCAACTGACCTTGACATGAAAACTCCAGAACTGGGAGACAAAGTAAAACTTTTCCTTTATAGAAGTTGGTTTTGCCAGGCATGTGGTAAGGCGAAGCAGCACCTACATCCCTTCTTTATTCACTCAAGAGTTTTCTCTCATATCCTCTCCCCCATCAGGGTGCTGGTTCTCATGTAACCCCAGGCGAACAGGTCCAGCATGAAGCCTCTTCCTGGGACACAGGAGTCTTACAGATTATTGGGCAAAACCTTTCCTCTCACCCTAGAATCCCACAGAGCTGGGGTGGCAAACATGAGATCACTTTAAATCGTTCCCTTCACAATTACCTGCAAATCGTTTAGCTTCCTTCTGACCTGCAAGCAGATGGGGACAGTAAAGTCAGCGGACAAGTTGTTCAGGTAGGCACACTGTAGGTAACAGGGTGTGGGGCGTCAGTTATGAGAATCAGGATTGTACTCACCATGCCTTCCGAAAAGATTTACTCGTTCTGCAAACAAATCACACAGACAGATAAGTATTTGATGACACACAGACTGAACATTTAATTTAACACAGAAAAGGATATAACTTAGCAACTTCTTTAGTGAGTCTCACTAAAAGTAAATGTGATCCAAAGTGTGCATAGATATTGTGAAAGGGGGAAGAAAGAAAGTGCTCAAAGGAGAGTCTACAGGGATGGGAAAAGGAGAAAAGAAGGGAGAAGAAAAAAATATATACATATATACATGCAAGATAGGTAAGATAATCTTACTACTAATTTCTATTAGTTCATTAAGAGACTTGTGTTTATATTTCCTGATTAATCTATCATGCCTGTATCTTGCAATCTGAGCAACTACTTTGAAGATAATACATGAATCTTTGATAATCTTCTATTATTCTGAAATTCTGCTGCATTGTTTTTTTTTTTTACTCTTGAAAATTAAAAAATGGAAAAGAAATGTGTATTTTAAAATTTTTTGATACTGGGGATCTAACTCTCACAACTGTGCACTTGCAAGGCAGGCCACTTACGCCGCTGAGCTAAATCCCCGGCCTGGAAAAGATTATATTCATTTTGAAACTCCAATAAGTCATTTGTGGCCTGTCTTGATTTGTGAACTATTTGGGAACTTTTACAGCTTTCTAGAGTTTGAAGCAGAAGAACAGAAAGTTGTCCTCAATTTCCACGCAGGACACCACTGAACTTGTGAAGAATCTGACTACAACTATCACAAGCAGATTGTTATTGCTGACTTATTACTCCATTAAAAGTTCAGTTTATATCTTCGGGACATTCCTGGGATAACCACAAATATTCCTCTCTATGCAGCAAACATTTACTGAGGTCCTGCTCTAGCCAGGAGCTGCCTGTGCACAGAGAACTCAGGAGGTGCCAGGTGCAGGCTCTGCTCTCCCAGGGTGACCTCTGCATCCCTCATTACAGCCCAGGGCTGGGAGCACTGTGGGACACAGAGTAGAGAGGGGCCTCAGCATCCTGGAGAGGCCGTTTTGTGTGCTGTCTGTTACTGCTTCATTAAAAATACTATTTCTTAGAAGAAAAATAGGTTTATATTCTAGTGAAAATCACAGAGAAGAAAAAGCATTTCACATTTTCCTTTACATACATATAACCACTTAAGGTGTCTTACATCTACATCCAGAATATTTTTATTCTACAACAAATTATCTAAAAATTGTACCTCACTGTCGGTCACAATCACTTAAGTGCTAATTGCAATTACTTGCTCATAAAAATCAACAAATATCATTAAGTATCATTGAGTAGCTAATTGATGTGTCTTTTTATTAGTAATGTGCTTGTCCTTTCCTGTCAGTCATGCAACAGATTTTTTCCTTACTTATTATGATAAGACAAAGAATATATATTTAAAGTTTCCTCTGGTTAAAAAGAAAGGTATGTAAAAATTGGCCTAATGAGTCAATAAAAGTACAGAGTTACATAGTCTAAATGAACAACAACAAAAAAAAAAAAAAAAACAAAAAACAAAAAACAAAAGCAAAGCAATAAAATAAAAAGGAAATGAAGCATACAACCATTTTCTTGATCCAACGTCACATAAGACCTGGTCCCATTGTAAAGGGGTCCTCATTACAGTAGGAAAATGAATAGGAGCCCGGATCCAGTGCTGAGGACACGGTGGTCTCCGTGTCAGGAGGGGCAGTGTCTGCAGATGCACAGCCAGAGCAGGCCCACCCTTTGCCTCCTCCCAGCCCACTCCCTCTCATGCCCCACCTTGGATCCTGCCAGCCCTGACCTCAACCTCACCAAAGCACTAAGGACGTTTTCTCTCCTCCTCCACCACCTCAGTTAGAGTTCTGAGTTTCCTGTAGTCACTACTCCCCAGTGAACTCGAACTCACAAGTCAGTGGACTCCATGCTGCAGGCCTGATGAAGCCGAAACTATGTGACTATACTGTGAAACCTCCCTCTACTCAAAATCCCACCATATTTTTCACTAATAATTAACATAAATTTGTAGACTTGAGGTTTGACCTCCTGTGGTCCTCACAATCTGCCCTCTGTCTAACTCTCCTATCTCATCCTGCTGGTTCTTCCCTATCTTTCTTGTTTAGCATTTGTTATTTTTTTAGAACCACACATGCGAGAGAACAGTACATTATTTTACTTTCAGCAATAGGAACCACTGTGTCTAATATATGGGATTCATTTGATAAATGAAGACAAAATTATGACTGCAAAGTAAGTTATCCTTATTAGGTATTGTTTCATATGACTTGTTAATTTAAAAATATAAATGATTTTCTTCTATAGCTGTGCTTTTATTTTATAGTGAATTTCAAATTTCCTTTACTAAATAGTTGTATTAATTCAGTTCTAGGACAGGATTTCAGCACAGTTATTAGAAAGATAAAAACATGCAGAGGTTTTCAGGTTGGAATTAACGTGATCAGTGATGAATTCAGTCTGGGTGCAGTTTGGTTGGCTAAGCTGATTTAGAGAAATTTTATATTTAACCAATACTCTATCTTGCTGGAGATTTATTCAGATATAAAATATGAAACTGAGTGTGATTTAAAAGTTAGACAAGAAAGGTAATGATGCAAATATCATAACTGCATTTAGGTCAACTGAATTTTTCTGATGTCTAGAATGAAAGAGACAATATATAAATCTCTGATAAATTTTTGATGGTGCTTTTCTTAATTTAGTTTAAAAGATGCTCTCCTGAGGGCTGCCTGAGCCTGGAGAAGCAGGGCTTTGGGAGAGCTGAGAGAGAGGGAGGACCTGGGCAGCAGCCTCCTCACCAGAGAGGAAGCAGCCTCACCAGGATGAGCTCAGGGCAGCTGCTCAGAGCCCTCAGCTTCTGGACTCAGGAGAACCCAGGGTAGACTGAGGATGGTCACATAGGTAAATAAGACACAGCTCTCTGCAGGGTGCAGAGCCTTGGTGGGGACACTGATTCGGGGAGAGAAGCAGTGTCCTGGACCCCTGGGAGCAGGGCAGGGGCAGCCTCTGCTCTACAGACCAAGGTGAGGGCACTTTGGGATCTGCTTGCAGGGAGAATTAATTTCACAAAAAAATGTAGAATTTAAAGAGCAAATTGACCTCAGTCCATTGACTATGGTGAAAGAATCCCGGCCTGCAGAACCATTGTGTGACACTGAAGTGTGATCGCCTGTGACCCTGAGCTGTGATGCAAACAGGAGCCCACTGTCCTTCCCTCAGGGTCACAGAGTCAGCCACAGCATTTCCTGGGCAGTTCTCATCTGTGGATTTAGCTTCCTAACAGAAAGTGACCTATTTAAATATAAAATGCCAAGATAACCCCACCTTTCTGTGAAAGCACATCTGAAAAGCAAGCAGCAAAACCAATTTGGAGATAACAGTGCACCTAGGGCTAAATTAAGCATTAAGCAGTCATTTTGTTACTCCACCGTGTGTAAGTTAATAACTTAGGGCAGGTGATGTTGGTAAGAATTACCATTAAGTTAGAAGTGCGTGCTGGTTTAGTCCTTTAGCTTCAACAAGCATGTGAGAGAAAAACGTTGATTCCCATGAGTCTTTGTTTTGTATATAATGATTTCAGCGGGTGAATTTGATCTTTGATGGGAGAAACTAAATGAACCCTATGTGGATATGGTAGAGTAACTTAAATTTTATAGGAATCCAGATGCAGGTGCAAAAGCAACTCTTTTCCAGGGTCACTATCTCCACAAGTGCTACCAAAGCCTTCCTTCATTGGAGTCAGGTGTTTAGATGAGTTACAGTTAAGCCCTGAATGTAGCTTTGTGTCAGAAACAATAGCATCATGACTACATGGGAAGTCAAATAAAAAATGCAGGTGGTTAATAACTTGGTACCTTTTGAAGTTTCTAATTATTACAGATTTCACTTAAACCCAGATCTACTCTGTCAGTCTGGAGCTGATTATCCTGAAAGTGAGGACAGATGTACTTACCTTGCTCCACATTGAGAGAAAGTGTGGCTGACTGAATTACCATGGAAAAGGAAAATGCTTATCACAGCGGATTCCTCTCTCAGCTTGTTCCCATTAAATGGACTACATTGTGTGTAATCTCTATAGGGTTTGGAAGCCAGAATAAAATGTTATGTAATTACAAAGCGATGGAGTTTTACAGTGATTTATTCAGAATGTCCTTGTCACAGTGGATTCCTCCTTACTTCTCTCTGAAAATTTTCTCCCTTGTGAGGGAATCTCTTATTCTCCTAGGGGAAAAAAAGCACCTTTCTTACAGAGATAACCATAGGCTCATTGAATGTTTGCTGCCTCTGAATTTGATCAAACTGCTTTCATGGTGGTGCTGTGCTACTTTTCCTGGTGTTTAACCCACTTTTATTTTCCCATCAGTCACCTGGCTAACGTGGTCTCTTTTTGCTTGCACCACGGCTCACTATCCAGAATGCAGGCAGATTCTGCTTTGTTCATTCTGCTCCTCTCCTTCGTGTGCAAGTCTTCTTCAGCTCTGAGCTCAGATCCATTCCCACTGTCTCAGCCAAGTCACTCGTGACCTCCAGCTCTGCTCTTACTGTGGGCTCCAGCAGCCCTCTTTTCCATAGCATTTTTAAAACACAAGTTTTGAGTTTATTTCAAAAGCAAAAACTTGACTTCTATCTTTCCATTTTCATTGAAACAATATCTCACTCTGTAGTGTAGGCTTGCCTTGAACTCATGGAGATCCTCCTGCTGAGACTCCAGAATGATGTCACTATAGAAATGTGCCACCACACCCAGCTTTGATCCATCTTGAGATACCAATTACCTCCGCTGCTTGTTTATCACAAAGCATGGAGCGGACAGTCAATCACTGTAAGAAAAGCCCGCTGTGACCTCTGAAGCCAGGTCCTCATTTGGTTTAAAGCAGCCAGCTGGTTTTTCTACATAGACCTAACAACTTTCTCCATGTTGTTTGATTACTTTGTAAACATAGGAAGGAAGCTATTTCAGTTGTAGGTAAACAATATTTCAGGTCAAAAGAGACATTCAAATATGTAGACAATTTGTTTTCTTAAAGGAGCAAAAGTTCATACAGCATGGACTGCTATGTGACTTTAAAATTTCAAACATTGCCTCTTACACATCATTTACAGTGCTGTTTGTTTATCTCTTCTGCATGAGGAACAAAACAAGAAAAGCTATGTTACCATTTTCTCTCCTCTCCCTACCCACAATATACCAATCCCACCCCAGAATTTATCCCCATTTGACAAAAGAGTTGTTTAGTTAGAGATTTCATAGATGTGTATCCATGGATAGAGATGGGTGAATATTTTCTTGCTAAAGAAAATTAGGACACAAATTGAAAAATACACCCTGCATATGTTAAATTTAGAATATTAAGCAGGGTCTCCTCATGTTTTAAATTTTGGCAGTGATCAGTCACACATGTGTGAATGGAAGTGAGCAGTAAACACTAACCTACACATGCTTCTCGGGACACTCAAAGAGTGTTTCTAAAATAGGTTTGAGGATTCTCAGCCATCACCATGCTCTTAGGGGGTGGCCTAGCAAGGGGGAGAAGAATGTGGAGTAATGAGCAAGGTTATGAGTCAGAGCACAAAGGAAACAGGGTGCCACTCTCATCTACCTTGGGTCCGAGAAGGATGCATCTTGGGCAGTCGGGTCAAGACCTCAGCCTTTTAGACTTTTTCTAGACTAAAACTGTAATGCATATCTCCTAGTGTCTCCAATACTCAGGCAGATTTCTGATACCCATGTTAAAATATTTCAAAACTCTACACAGTGGAGCAAGATTGGGCCTAAGTGAGGAGCAATTTCATTAAATCTCAGCTTCACCTTCCAAGACTCGCTTCACAAGTTCCAGACTGGATTAAGTGTAGCATGCAAGAGAGTGCAAATGAAGGAATTCTCTCTCCTCTGGGTTCCCCCCATTGAATTTTACATGAGCAAGATGTTCTAAGTTCACTCTTGATTTATATACAACTATGTCTCATCCCTCCACAAATGAGTCAAGCCACACAGTTTCCCCTTTACCTCGGCATCTTCTAGATATCAGGAGGAGAACAGCAGCGATTATGATTATCAAACATAAGGGCACCAGCATCACAGGCCACTCCATTCCCTTGGTGCTGACCCGGGGGAACAAGGCCTCTGAAAAACAGGAAGCAGCTGCTGAGACCCAGCTGGACAACAGCTGACTTGGTGATGGACACAAGTCCAAGGATAGTTTCTCCAGGGAAAAAGCACAGAGACGCTGGGTCTCAGCCCCACTGCAGCTTCTCAGGAGCTCAGGACCTAAGTTCCCTGTGTCTCTGCTTCCCTGATGTGTGAGATCCAGGAGGGCCTGAAGAATTTGGGAGATCCAGGAACACGCTAGATATGGAAACCAGTGCAGCAGATACTCATGCATCTACCATCCAGAATGAATACCATGTTTATATATGTGATGGGTGACAGTGTTAATACACACAAGGACACTCAGTGCAGGAGACCCTTGCCCTCACTCTCTAAGAGAACCCACCCTGCTCCTCTGTGTCCAGTTATTTCCTGCTATGCACAGCTGCAAGCCCAGTAGTATGCTGAGAACACAGGTTGAGGTGTTCTACAATTATAGTGAGGACACTGAATGATATCTGATGATAAACCAAGGAGATGTCAAGCTCCAATCCTGAAGGAGAATTCCATCTCACCTCAAGGATTCATCTGAAAGGTGTAATGGATGATAATTTAGATTTGAAAGAACCAATATGATGCCAGTGTTTATCTGTGTGATGATGTGAGGTCAAAAGAGAAATAAAGACATTCTTATTCAAGAACAATCTTCATCCCATAATTTAAAAATGTGCTTACACGTTCATATGCGAATCAGGTAACTGTTGTTCAATTACTTGTGCATGGCATGGAATGGTTCAAATTATTTAGATGCATTCCTTATCTATGCTGTGCTCTCCCACACAGATTTCAGGAGTCTTCTGGCATTAGGATTAATAATGATTATATTTCTTATTTCCAACTTTTCATTATCTCAAAAATATTCTGTAATCCTTACTGGCATGAAAGTCTAACTGCAACCTGTGGGCTGCTGGATTATCTGAAATTGTGCATTTCTAAGGTTCTCATTAGAAACTCAATCCTCTGACACATAATTTTCTCTATGTAATCCCTCACCATTAACCTAACTTTAATGTGTGTAAGTTACCAAAATAAATCCCAGAAAATATATTTTTTAAATAATATCTCTAAATAAAGAACTTTATTTACTAATTCCTCTGGATATTAATTTCTATATACTTGGCATTAATTGACCAACTCTTGGAGATATTTAAGAATTATAGTACAGTATCCACCACAGTTGATACTCCACTCAGGGACACAGAACAACACAGTTCAGAACACACAGGGGAGCACAGAGAGGTGCTCAGTGCAGGAAGAGTTGGGTGAGGCTCCTGGAAAGGTCTCAGTGATCAGGACATCGGGAAATTGCTCCTGTGAGGAGACAGAAGGAGCCCAGCAGGCAGCACCCTGGGCAGCAGGGCTGTGCGGGGTGGGGTGGGGTAGGAAGTGGGGAGAAAGAGAGGGGCAAAAGCTGAGGCTGCAGAGAGAACAAATGCACAGGGAAGGACTAGTGAAGTCTTGGGCTGCATGGTTTCTATGTGACCTGGGAAAACAATCCAGGAGGCTCAAGCAGCCCTGGAGCTGCCCTGGATTCTTGTATGGCTGTGGACAGAGCCAGTATGGACTTCGAGGAGTAGCACTGGTCCACCCTCAAATGCCAGGTGTGCATGACTCCTCAGGAGGGTCTAGTGCAGGGACAGTGGGTTGTTCCTGTGTAACAAGGGGCCTGACAGACAGTGAGTAGCACTTGTCCAGGGTCACAAGGCCAGGTGGGGGTGATGCTGGACTTCAACTCAGTGTGACAAAGAGGAGGAATAAATTCCACATTGTTATGCAGGAGTTTCCCTTTGGAAAAGGCATTAGACAAGTTTGGAATGAACTTCAACACATTCCTCAAAATGCTCTGTTACATGATTTTGCTTCTCTTATTATGATGTGAAATAATGATTTATTACACAAACAATAAAAAGTAAGAAAACAGGTATACTTAACTAGCTTCCCAAATAAGAGTTGGCCATGTGTGACCTGGACCATTCTCCTAGTTTTCCCATCAGGGTCATCACTGATCCCCCCTCCCTCTTCAGCACTGACATCACAGAGTGAGGGCTCTGAGGGAACTCACCTGCCACTGAGAGACGCGCCTCCTTCTCCTCCCTGAGCACAGGGTTCCCGATCCAACAGGACAAAGGTACTCTTGAGCTGTTTGTCATTGTGACTGAGCTTTCCACATAGATTAGGCCATCTTCTTGTTCAGACCTAGTCTCAGAGTCAGGTGACAAAGGCTGTCCCTGTGAGTCCCTCCACTGGAGCTCAGGGTCTGGGTACCAGCCTGAGGATGAGCAGGTCAGTGTGATGCCCTCAGTGTCTGCAGGCTGAATGTGGATATGAGGAGGTGCACCTGAGGCTGGAGGAATCATGAGAAGGTAAATAACGCTTCTTTTTTTAGCTTATAAACATGGTGTATGGGCTAATTAGCTTGTGCTTAAAAAATAACAATTGTATGAACCTCAGCTCTGTATTTGTGAGCACTGAGTTACAGGAAAGCTGACCATAAAGTATTTCTCTGCACAATGGCTTACACAAATGAAATTAACTGTACCAGCACTCAGGAAAACATGCAATCCCAAGCAGTCCTGTATCTGGTATTTCCTTCCCTCTTCCTCTTGTAGTCATTTATCCCCCCATGTGCTGACTCCTGAGGAGGGTGGTAAAATACTCTGTCCATATAGTTGGAGCCTGAGAGCTGCAGATCATGCAGCATCTCATGGTTTTCTATGATAAAACACAGTGGATCTCACAGCATTCACTGAGCTCTTTTGAACTGCAGCAGAATGTTCCACAAGAACTTGTGACGGGACAGTCCTGTCACCGTGGCCCAGTCGATCGGACACTGGAAAAAAGTGTGAATGGAGCCCTAGCAACATGGCTGAGGAACTGAATATTGTTTCTCTTTATTTAGCATCAACACACAGGCCTCGCTTGTTTATATTCAGGACTAGATTTAAGATCCTGATGCAAGTGATGCACTGGACATGCCCTGAGCATCCTTTCAACAGTGACCATGAGGGAGAGGCAGTAAGCCATCCCATCAGTCTTCCTCTTGCCTTCCCAGGGCTGGCTTGAGGTCATCCTCAAAGTGGACAGGAAGGTCTCATCTAGGGGAGTTGGAGCCTCAGAATGAAGAACGTGGAGACCTCACAGTGTCCACTCCCTGTCCCATCCCAGGCCCTTTGCTTCTTGCTCTTCACAGAAGCACTGGGTCAAAATGAAGCTGAGCATGCAGCAGGGCAGTGCACAGCAGCACAAACCTCCTCACCTGTCCCATGGCTGTGTCTGTCTACAGCAAGGACCAGGGTGAGGAGGAGGGTAGAGGAAAATGGAGCCAGGAGCAGGAGGTGAGCTGCAGAGCTGAGCCCCAGAGAAGAGCAGCCCTGCTGAGGGCAGCACAGTGTCTCCTTGAAGGGGAGACAGTGAGGAAAGGGTGAGGGATGGGGCTCTGAGCTCCTCCAGAGACTGCATCTCCAGTGGGAACAGGTTCCTGACCTCGGCCACACTTCACTCCTCCAAGAGGATGCAGAGCACTAAAAAAAAAACCAGGGCCAACAGTCACACAGCTAAGAAGGCACAGGATCCGGAGAGAGGGATTATGGGGTTCAGCTCTGAGCAATCAGAACAGGGGTTCAGGTACTCTTTGTCATGTATTCCCTTGAAGGAAGATTGGATGAGCATAGTTTTTCTAGTGCATCACAAGGGAAAAGGAGAGATAAAAATGAAATGATTCATACATCATTAAAAACAGAGACAATGTCATGGAGAATACAGAAACAAGACACCAGTGAATTTATGAGCCAATCTTTCTAGTTAAAAACATTTAAATTTTGCAGATCACATGTATTATTGCTTATTATTCATTTTTGCATATCACGGACGCAGTAAAAGTTTATATTGGCAATTGTAGTATTTATCTATAATGTCACAAATTCAAAATAGAGAAAAACCCAGGATTGCACAAAACTTGTTTTGCAAGTGTTCAACAAGAAGATCAAACATTTCTTTCTTTCTTTTTATTTGTACTGGGGATCGAACTCATGACCACCTGCTTGCAAAGCAGGTGCTTATGCCGTTGAGCTAAGTTCCCAGCAGTGGATCAAACATTTCTTATAAACTTTACTTTGATAATCAAGGGATTTCTGCTAATAAGAGTAGTCCCTGATGGCAAATGTCACAGGACCACAACTGAGCCAACGGCCTCTTTCTGCCTCACTCTCTCTGTCTTTCTGTCTCTATGTCTGTCTCTGTCTCTCTCTCTCTCTCTCTCTCTCTCTCTCTCTCTCTCTCTCTCTCTCTCTCTCTCTCTCTCTCTCTGTTTCTCCTTTTCCTCCTGAGATTGCAAAATTGAGCAGGAAAGCAGCATCAGCATGGGGATGTAGCTATATGAGCAGGGAATCTTTTTACTAACAATGCAATGTCACATTTCTGCAGAATGCTCAAAAAGAGGCAAAAGCAAGTGTCAGGGGACAGTTTTTAAAGTTGCATAGAAACAAAAGACTCTACTCAATCAGTAGAAAGCTGTGATTCCATTAGTGACAATGAAAGTCACCCTACAGTGACCCTCCTCTCTGTCTCCCTCACATCAGCCATGAAGGAGTAGACCAGTTATCTGATGAAGACTATTGATGACTGAAGTAGATCTCTTTCCTCAAGGAAAGGGCAGGTGAATTTGATCTTTTTCCTTTTTTGTTTTCTGATTTTGAATTACATTACAGTATTGGAGTAATTTTATATGAATATTTGGGAGGCAAAGAACAAATCATGTAGGTTCCCATTATTTCTTAAGTAGATATTTGCTTTGATATACAAGTACTCTGGGTTAAGAGCATGTTTCTGAAACACACTATGCTTGCCAACGGAGGTTTCACACTATTTTACAGCTCATGGTACATGAGAAAAGAAACAGAACCTCTTGGACATGCTCAATTTGCTTTGGTTTCATAAAAGTGAGTGGGATTAAAACACATTCTCCCTGGTGGATGTAATCAGTGGAAATTCTGAAGCTTTACATTGGCTTCATCTTTGTTTAAATTTCTGTTGTGCTTCATGCACTTAACTTGAAACTATAACCACCCCTGCCTTACTCCTTTCTACAATTCGAAAAAGTGACATCTCTGAAAAACTTCCCTGTTGAATCAATGAGATCAAGACAGAGACCCCAGCAGGTGGTTAGGGAAACACTACTGGTGTCAGAACAAACTCCAAGGCAGGCAGCACAGCTGGTGTCCAGCCAGGAGCTTCAGGATGGAGAGTGAGTGTTGCTGAGTGTGCAAGAATAAAGTGGAGCACAGGAAATGCTGATTCCTAAACTGTGGGGAATCTCTTTGGGCCAGAAGAGAAAGAAGCCTTGGGACACGACAAGCCAGGCTGTTCTAGAGGGATAAAGGAATGCACCAAGAGACTTAATGGTGGAGGTTCAAAGCCACTTACTAGGGTATATTTATTTACATAAGTAAAGGTTCACTACACACAGCTGCACAAATTCTAGAGAATGTGTGCAGAACCTCTAGGAAAGGATGTGCCAGGATCTTCCCAGATGTCCCCACAGAACAGTGAAGAGCTCACCAGAGGGTGATGTGGGGGAGGGAGGAGCACAGTCAGGCTCACCCAGCCCTGCAGGCTCCTGGACAAGTGCCTCTGCCAGTTGTTGCCCTTATGCATGTAATTGGTGCCTGCAGGTCAGAGTCCAGGGCACCTGCTGGAAGGTGGGGGCTTCTGAACTCAGGTGTTGATCTCTGTCCAGGACCACAGAGACTCTCTGGAGAGAGGTATTGTGTCCACTTGAGATTTTTAGAAGTTTAACTAAGTCTGTCCAGCCATTCTACATCCTAGGCTGTACCTAGCACCTACCCTAAGGCAGCTTGTAGTTCAGAGGGAATAAAGTGACAATGAACAAGAATGAACTGGCTTTTGCACTTCAGAGCAGATGCGGTCTTCACCTTAGGCTCGGAAGTCTTCTTAGGCTCCTAGAGTGGTCTGTATGTCTTCCTCCTCAGATCTTTCAGCTTTTAGGCATAGACTTTTACTCTTCTGGTGTAGACCATTTGGCCTTCCATCTCAGACTCATAGGCCTCCTGATACAGAGCTGCATGGGCCATTTATATAGCTCTGTGGGTAAGCATCTTAATCCAATCTTCTAATGGCTTAAATATTTGCCAATCTTCTGTTATATCTGTTTCTCTTGTAGATTTTGGTTTTCCAAAACTGAAGCCAAAGCTTTCTATATAAAACTTGCTAAACATTCTCTTTTCTGGAGACTCCTAAAATGGGTAAGAATCATACAACTCACTGCTTTTTTAGGTAGCCATGAGACAAAAGTCTCTTTGCTTCTAATCAGAATTGCAGTGGTGCAGAGAATTTCCTCCCAGCAGCCTCTGGCTTTCAGAGATTGTCAGCACAGGAGACTCACACAGGTTAATGCACCTGGAGATTAGGGATGCAGCACCATCTTGCAGGTCATAAATTTGCTTCTAGTGATGATTCAGTTGGTTTCTAATGAGGCCCCTTGAAGGGAGACAAAAAGCAACCCAACACTGAGCTCAGCAGACAGCCCTGTGACATCTATAGACAGAGCTGATTCAAGTGCATTTCATAGTTCCATAAAAAGCTTCCCTTTCCTTTCCATCTCCTCATGACAGGATTCGCCCTACTGTCAGTGTCTGGGGAAGAAGAGGTAACAGCACAGGCTTCTGCAGAGATCTAAGTCCACAGGTGACAGAGGAAGGGGGGCGGGAGCACGTGAAATAGGAAGGAGCACATGCAGGATAGAAGGAAATGAGGTGTAGAAACCCAGAGTTGGACAGTAGACTGCCCAGGTCCTCCCTGTTCCTGTGTACCTCCTCTGGGTCTAGTAGGTGAGAAGGAAATGACCAGACTGAGATGTAGTTTGAGACTGTTGGAGTCAGAGTACATTGCATTCCAAGATCAAATCTGTCCTTCTAGAAATTCATTGGAAAAGAAAAATAAGAATTTTTTTTCCATTAAAGAATAATTAACTCTATAAAGTCTAATTAAATGAATTTTAGCCCTAACACCTGCCATTCCATTATGGTGTTTGTAGATACCCAGACACATTTCCCACACATACACTTGAGTCTTGATTAGATTAAAAAAAAAAAAACAATTCAGCATTTTCAGTGCTCACCTGCAACAAGCAGCTCTAACTGTGCTTGACCAACTTGTGTGGATCTTACAAAGACACAGCTGTACTGTCCTTCATCTCTAGCAAAGATGGGATGGATCCTCAGGGCCACCTGGCCTTGCGTGATGTTTTCCCTCAGGAGCTCTGTCCTCCCTTGGTACTCGAGACTCTGCTGATCCATGTGGTCCTGAGAATTCCTGTACTCGTAAACCAGTACTGATTGGTGGTCCCGGTACCACCTGATCTCCATGTTCTGAGCATCTGTGGATGGGCTGAGGTGACAGGGAAGCACAGCTGCTTTCCCCACCTGGGCAATGACCGGTGACTTTGGTGTTTTCACTTGGAACTGCCCTGGAGGTGATTAAGAAGAGGACAGAGTCATTGCTGAGAGGGTGGCAGGCCTTAGTGGTGGCCTTCTGACCAGATAAGGAAGAAACCATGTCAGATAACTTGATGAGCTTGGATAGCTGATGAGCAGAGCTAAAAATAGGAGGTGCCAGTTCAATTTTAGCATAGGAGATCACAGGACATTATGTTAAATGTGCAATAGTTACAGGACCCTAAACTAAATTAAGTCTTTTCCACTTTGCTTAGGTTTGTAAGTTAAATTCCTATGAAGCACTGTGTTTAATTCTTGTCATTCTGTGTGTTGGAGGGTAAAATTATTTTGCAGATAAAGAAATTCAATCAGTGAGTGGTTTAATACTATATCACATGACACAAAATAATGTATCATAAAGTGAATATTACAAAATAGCATAAAATATTTTATCACTTTACAGCATATATTATAGTGTCTTATAAGACAAATGCATGTGAAAACATTAAAACAAATCTTTTTCTAAGCAAATAGTAGAAAGATATTGTCTCAGAAAAGTAATATATGTGTCACCTTTAGAATGCTTAAGATCACCACCTGGGTGCCGGCCTATTCCTCCACTGTGGATCCCACACCTCAACCCAGGCACCACCAACTTATCATTGACACTTTTGTCCTCTGCATGGGGCAGCAGACAAGCCAGTGAAACAACAGACGCGGTTGCAAACAAAACAACAGCCTGAATAGGAGACTCAATATGGATGAGTAAAGGAAAGGTCACGTCACAGAAGCTAAAGAAAGATTCACAGAGAAGGAATGTTCTGAAAGATCCAACATGGCTCAGTATGTAGGAGCCATGTTGGAGAGACGCAGAGAAAATTAATAAGAACTCGGAGTAGAGAGGACAACAGGACAGAGCAGCAAGTTCCAGCAGCTCAGCTTCTCCAGGACAGGAGGTGTGAAGTCTGGTGTAGGAGGCAGTGGGAAGAACCTAAATCTCTGTCCTAAGTGACCTTCAGTGGTAAGGGGTGGTGAAGATCTGCCTCACAAATATCCCAGGACACAGCCGCACAGTGCGGGCACAGACAGGAAGACTCTGTGTGAAGGGCTGAGTCTGAACTTTGCTTCTAGAACTGTGCCTTGTGGGCTTCATAATGAAAGACCCAGAACAGAGGAGGAAAAGATTATTACTGGAGACTGTTGGCAGCTGGAGAGCAGATTGCAGTAAGACCTACTGAAAGGCAGGGACTAGCGATCACAGATCTGGGACCTGCAATGAGGCACCAGACTCAGCCTGACTTCCTCAACATTGGAGGCTCACAATTCTACCATTTTCCTAGGGCTAAAGGGAGACCTACAACAGGGGCTCATGGTGTGTTAATTCTCACTCAGCCTTGATAGACACCATGGGAATCTATTAGTCTCTTACAGCTGTAGTTGAATTGATTGAGTATGAATAATCATGACTCCAGGGACAGCTGAATGTCTATGAACCTGTGTGCCAACACCTGGGGAGAGAGACAGCAAGAGCTGCTTACCCAAGAACTCAGCCTGGATCAGACTCTGAGAAATGCCTGCAACCTGCCAGAAAGAGGTCCTGAGGCTGAGTTAATTCCAGCTTTGCAGGAAGGGATCACAGGTGTAACGGGCTTGTGAACACTCAAAGAACCAGGTATAGGAGCTGCTTGGGAGTTACATATGCAGTGACTCCTTGGAATAGCTCATCTGTGTTCTCATCAGACATCTCAGTGGTTGAAGTTTTTTCTTTTGTTTTAATGTTTCTGGAGTTATTTAATAACATAGGATTATGATTTTTTACATTTTCATGACTGTATCACATGTAAACTCTTGTGTACTTTTGTTTTAGTTGCCTCAGATTTCATTGATATGGAAGTGCTGCACATTGTTTAGAGAACAGACAAAGGTGGAGGCTAACTGCAAGGACTGTCATATGGAAATATCAGACTGACTCTGTGGTGTTGTTAATTGGAACAATTCTTGTGGCAACACATTGGGACTGAGTTAAACCCACTTAAATAAACGAGGTAAGTGATAGATTAGAATTGGACATATAAAGCTGAAAGCTATTCAAGGGGAGGTAACACCCTGCTAATACTCTCTGTATAGTCACATGCTCTCCTTATTTTTCTACTAACCTCTGCCCCAAAAAGGATGGGGAAGAAAAAAGGAAACACATATATATTCTTTAAAAATAGACAGATAGATAGATATAGATATAGATATAGATATAGATATAGATATAGATATAGATATAAATGTACTCAAATAGATAGAGTAGAAAAATGGGGAAATACGGAAATAGAAGATCTCCTAACCCACCTCCAGCTCCCCCAAGATAGTTCAGGGATCACAAAGGGAGAAGAAAACAATCAGACAGAAACATCCATGAAGTTCTTAGAAAGATGAAGAAAACAGATGAGTTAAAAGAGGAAATGAACCAAAAGTTTACAGGAAGTAATTCCATATGCTCACAGTGAATTTGGAGGAATAAAGTAGACTAGACTACCTAAGCAAAACAAGTCAAAACTTGAATGACAGGTTCAACAAGGATACAGAATCTTCAGAAAGCAATAAGCGAAGGGAAAACAGTGTAGCATTCATATGTCTCAGAAGTGACCAATATGGAGACAGAGTGTCTAACACTGAGAACAAAATGGTGAATCAAGATAAAGACCTCAAATAAACAAAAAGATCAAGACAACAAGAGAAGACTATCAGAAGTTGCTAGATGAGTTTACATGTGATAAGCATTTCCCCTAAATCAGGAAGAAGACAAGGATGTCCACTATCACCTCTCCTGTTCAACATAGTACTTGAAACATTGTCTAGAGCAATTAGGTAAGAGAAATTAACAAAAGGTACTAGAGAGAAGACCCAAAAACCTACATGAACAAGCTCTTGTACATAATCATCACTTTCAGCAAAATAGCAGAACACACAATCAGCATGCAAAATTCATTACTGTTTTTGACTACCAATGATGAATAGGATGAGAAGAAAATTCAGAAAGTAATACTGTTCACAGTTGCATCAATACAAATGAAATACATAGGGATTAACCTAACCAAGGAAGTGAAATATCTCTATGAAGACAACCACCATAATGTGAAAAGGAGATTGACAAGGACATCAGGAATAGAAAGATGCACATTGCTCCTGGATAGGCAGAATCAATATTGTCAAAGTAGCTACATTTCCAAAGCTTTTATTCATACGCAATGCATTCCTAATAAAATACCAACAGCTTACTTTATAGCTATCGAGAAAACACTCTTAAAATCTATATGGAACCAGAAGACACAGAAGAGCAAAGTATTTCTGGGCAGTAAGACAAAAGCAGGTGGCATAGTGATACTTGACTTCAAGCTATGCTACAAAGCAACAATAATAAAAATGTCCCAGTACTGGAACAAGAATAGACACATGGATCAGTGGAATATAACTGAGGATATGGAAACCTTCACAGACACACTCAACCATTTGATCTTTGATAAAAGGACAAAAGTATGTATTGGAAGAAAGACAGCATTTTCAACAAGTGGTGGTAGGAAAACTGGTTTTCAGAAAACTTCTTTTCAGAAGATGAAACTGAACCCTTAACTTTCACTACATAGTGAATTAAAGATGTGAACATTAAAAGAAATACTATAAACTTTCTATCTAATTTAAAATAAATTAGATAAAATGCCTTAGGACATAGATGTAGGAAAGGAATTTCTAAACAGAAACCTAGCTGCAAAAGAAATAGCAGCAACAATCAACAAATGAGATTACATCAGACCACAGAGCTTCCTTCCCTACAGCAAAAGAATCAGTTAGTGGCCAGAAGAGAAGACTTACAAAATGGGGGAAAAAAGCTTTTCACAGCTATTTTTCAAACAGAGGACTAATATCTAGAAAACACAAGAACTTAAAAAAAAAAAAAAAAAAAAAAAAAAAAAAAAAGAAAAGAAAAAACCTAAAGTTAGAGACCCAGTCAAGAAATGCAGAAAAGCAAAATAAATCTGCTGGAGAAATAAATCTGCTGGAGAAATGAACAGATACTCTCCAGTGGAAGAAATACAAATGAGTAACAATTATACAAAAAAAAAAAAAAAAAAAAAAAAAAAAAAAAACTTCAGCATCTCTGTATATCAGAGAATCCCAAATTAAAGCAACACTAAGATCCCACCTTACTCTGGAAAGAGCAGCCATCATTAGCAAATCAAACACTGAAAAATGTTGGCATGGCTATGGCAAAATAGGAATCCTCTGAATTGCAGGTGGGAACACAAACTAGTACCAGCATCGTGGAAATCTCTATGGAGATTTCTCAAAGAACTGAAATGAAAAATTCCACATGACTCAGCTGTTGCCCTGCTAGGTACCCTCCCCAGCAATTTTAAATCCTCACACTACAGTGAAACTTTGAAACAAACATGTACAGCACAACAACATGTAATATGATTGACCAATGAAAATGAGGTATCTGTATATATACTGAAATACTACCGTGCCATAAAGAATGACAAATGTGGAGCATTTTCAGGAAAATGCATGCACCCCGAAAATAGATTAGTGAAATAAACATAAAAACTTGAATATCTTATGATATCTCTCATTGGAGCGAGCCAAAGTACAAAAGAAAAACAGAAAGTGACAAGCGAAGCACAGAAGGGGACAAGGGGACAGATGTCATCCAATAGGGAAATGGTCCAAAGAGATACAGAGAGGGGTGGGAGGATTGAAGGAAAATGAGAGGAGTAAAGATGTGCCGGGTACAGGACCCTAGAACTCTACTGGAAGGGAACAGTCTGTGTCATGGCATGAGCCAAGAAAAGTGGTATCAACAAGCTTGTAAGAAGTGATGGGGGGATGAGGGACAGGGGGCGGGGAGGGACGAGGAAGGAGGTAAGATGCAGAGCTGTGGCGTGTACAGGTGATCGCTCCCAATATGGGTAATGAAAATACAAACTAATATAATTAAGTTAAATTTTAAAAAAGAAAATGAATATAAAAAGATGTGTACAAAACAGTATAATATTACAACAGGGAATTTGTGTGTGGAATTATGAAAATTAAATAAAAAACTAAAAATGTTTGAATTCTTCTCCATTTCCAAGAGAAATCTTTTTTTAATTTTTTTTATTTTAAAGAGATTAAGACAAAATAGAACATAAAAAAGCAGATCAGAACAGAACAATGTAAGCAACACAGTATTTCACCACAAGACAACACATAATAGTAACTACCATAATGTCTCTTTCTTTGAAATAGTTGAGTATAACTTCATATACAACAGTATCAAACATAACAAAACAGTATAAAACCATTCGAGAGAATGAAAGTATTACAGGGCATTCAGAACCAAAGAACAGAAAATGAATAATGGCTATTATATTATCTCATTTTCCATAGAAAATTTGTTTATACTATCACACATAATAAAATCCAGTAAAGCTACAACATGATAGAACCAATGGAAACAGAAAAACAAAAGCATGGTAGGACTTCAAAGTAAGATGATATTAAATCATTCCTAGCTATTATACTCTCTTGTTTTCTTCAAAATAGCTGCTCATCTTTCTCTGTCTTTAATCTTAAACCTTTTAGCCCCTTCAGCTTCCTCTTAATTTTATGACCCAGACACATTGTCCTTAAGGTCTGGGATCCATCAGGTGAGAGTGTGAACTCCAGTGAGGAGAGAGCTGCTACCACTCCTCACAGTGCAGGGGAGCCCTGGGACCGCGCTCCAAGCTGTGTCTATCAGTGTGACATAAAAGACATAAAGTCCTTTTTCCCTTTGGGAAAGACATTTCACTGATACCGCTGGCTGCTTCATTTTCAAGATGAATATAGAGAGGAAGATGTGCAGCAAACGGTGTCTCCTGTACTCACTGCGGGCAGGTGTCTTTTCTGTAAGAACACATCTGCAGCGCTCAGTAGGCTGGGGGATTCCTTTCTGTCACAGCAACGGAGTTATTGGTTTTGTGTGATTTAATCAGTTTTGTTAGCTGATTACTCAGCTTTAACACTTAACAACGCTATTTAGTTCTTTCTGTCCTATGGAAGGCACTTTTGTGGGTGGGCAGGAGAATCTGTCATTTAATGATTCCCAAGAAGGAAATAGAGGAACTCTTTTTTTTTTTTTAATTTTATTTAAAAGGAAAAAGAGAAAAAACAAAACAAAACAAAGCGGTGTAAGGGTACAAGTAATACAGAACTACAAAAAAAAAAAAAAAAAAAAAAAACCAGTAAGAAATCACCAGTTAATAGATTACACATTATCATCTTAGAGATAGTTTGCAGTCTCTCTGTTTGAATGTTCACTTTGTATGCCTTGATACTGTGACTTGAGCAACTATCTCTAAGAGGAACTCTTCTACTTGTGTTCAGCAGAGCAGGAGCACAGGCGGCCTGGGCCGTGTGCAGCTGGGACGGGCAGGGCAGACACTGGGACTACGCTGCTGCCCTGCCCTGCACTCACTCTGCAGCTCGGTCAGGACTGACCTGCAGCCCTGGACCCACAGCTGGTGCTGAAGAATTTCAGAGCTGAGGAGTGTTAGGAAAGGAATAAAGGTTACCCAGCAACCAGCACAAACATCCAGAGACTATAGTGCCAGAAGTGAGAAACATGTGTCGTTACCACTGAAGTTAAACACAGGCATTTTACAAACATCAATTGCTTAACCACAAGTCCTGTTCACAATGGAAAAGAAACGCTCACACACACACATACACACACACACACACACACACACACACACACACGCACACACAATAATATTCAAAGTCCATGGACCTAAGTCAGAAGTAGATATTTCACTTGCTGGATTTTAAAGTGCATTCCCAAAATTTAAAATATGTTAACAGGAGCTATTATTATTAGGGTGACACCAGGTTACCACACTGTGACCAGGAGTGAGTGAGGAAATGTATCACTGATACAACATAGGTATCCCATATCCAAAATGCTTCAGGTCAGAAGATTTTAGCTTTCAGAGACTTGTGGGCTTTGGAATGTTTTGTAGGAAGGCAGAAGAGCTAGTTTTATAATTCAAAATTGTCTTTTAAGTTTTACCAAGTTATGTTTATACATTTATTGCACAGTAGCATATATTTCACTAAAATAATTATTAAGCTCATCTGTACAGCTGTCCTGATATTTCACTTTCACAGTGTTTTTCATTTACATTGAGCATCATATTTATTTCAATCAATCCCTGTCCACAGAGCAGGTATCATGAATCAGTTTCCACGTCTGAAATGCTATTTACTCTTATCAACTGGCACTCTTTTAAACCTGAAGCCCTTGTTAAAAGAACTCAAAGATGGATTCTAAAGGGTCAGAAATGACAATTACAGATTTGTGTGCACTGTGGCTCCTTCTTTTCACAGCCTTATGTGAAATTTTAAAAGAATGAAGTTTGACATAATATCTTAAAAAAAAAAAAAAAAAACAAGACACATGGAAGACCCTGTCAAAGGTGCCACAGCCCTGTGGGTTGAGCTTGGCCCTGGGCACAGGTCCCACTCTGAGTCCCCAGCAAGGGGTAACATTTGACCTCAAGGAGATTCATGCAGTATCCAGAGTTCAATTAAAAACAAATTTCACTGCTGCATGCACAGGTACAAGTTCCCTATGGTGGATGTGAGCATTATGCACATCTAAGCTGTACCAATAAGCTTAATTATAATGGCCAAACAAAACTTTCGAAAAAGAGTTGAAGTAAGAAAAATGGAAATAGGCCTCCTGCAATTAGCGGGGGGGTGGGGGGTGGGGGGGACACAATTAAGAAGTGTTGTGTATATGTCCATATCTTCCAGAATGACTGTGATTACTATGTACTGCAAAAATAATAAAATAAATTATAAACTTGAAAAAAAAGAAAAGGTGAAGTGCAAAACTAGAAAGAATTACTCATAAAAGATTATTTGAGCATCTCAATTTGTACTGCATTAATAAAAACTGTGCTTGAGGACCTGCAGCATTCTACCCTGAAAAGCAAGGACAGCAGGAAGGGAAGAGGACAGAGAGGGCAGCCCAGGCCAGGCCCAGACCCTCAGGGGCAGTGCAGGCCAAGCTCTGTGTGCGGTGGAAGGCAAGAGGGTCCAGCCCGCCTGGCTCCTCCTCACTCACCTGTGCCTGGCCAGGGCAGCAGCCAGAGAAGGAGGGACTTGAAGTACAGGGCCCAGGGCTGCATCCCAGAAGGTTCAGGGGGAGGTCGAACCCTGTCCTCGCTCTATCACAGCTGGTGTCCAGGTCGGTCTGTCATGGTCATTCTCCTGCTGAAAACGGGAAAATATAAGTCCTGGATAGAACACCTCAGTGTGGGGTGTTGGAGCAGGGTTCGGTGCTCTCTAGCTTCTAATTTATACATTAGAAGATAAACGAGAAGAAATACAGTTTGTAACAGGGTGGCTGATTACACAATGAACCAAAAACATCACTGTGTAAGAAAACAGGGACCCAAGCAATTTTTAGTTCTACAACTGTTTTTATTCTGAATTAAAATTGGAAACTATTCATTCAGTCTTTCTAATATTTCAACATTGTCAGTCATTAAGAAACTCCAACGTTGGGGCTGGGAGTTTAGCTCAGCGGCATAAGCGCCTGCCTTGCAAGCAGGCGGTCATGAGTTCGATCCCTGGTACGGATAAAAAACGAAAAAGACAAAAAAAAAAAAAAAAAAAAAAAACTCCAACATCTAACCTTACAGGTAAACACTACACAATTATGAGGCAGAAGCATAAAAAGGAAATCTATAGGGACTTTCACATGCTGGCAGGGATTGGAGCAAACACTGGCCTGCTGCAGGGCTGATCGCCCAGTGCCCTACAGAATACGGCTCATCATTTCTCATCAGCACTCGCTTATCTTAGGTTTCAGGTCCAAACATGACCAGGAACTCGTCTAGCAGTTTTACTCAATCTCTGGAAATGTAAAAACAGCCCAGAAATGTACCATAGTTGTCACGGGTATCTGCTCTGCTCTGAATGAAGAATTCTGGGCAGTGAACACTAGCGGCAAGGCTGCCCAGGAGGCGCTGTGCGAAGTGGGCAGAGCCCTCTCCAGGTGCAGGCTGTGGGGGTCCGTTCCCCTCTGCTTGTGTGGAAGAAACTCATGGGCAGCAGGGAGGAGCCCCGGGCACAGAGGGTGGATGGATGGGGACAGCAGGGCAGCCCTGGGGCCAAGAGTACACCGAGCTGCTGTGAATCCTGGTGGTGGAGGAGGTCACAGAAATCTGATTCATGAAGGGACAGACACACTCACAAGCACAGGGACACAAAAAGGGTTTGTGGGCTATTTATAAAATAACTATTAAAACATGGTGACAAAAATAAAAACAGACTGAAACAAAAAAGCCAGCAATGCCAATAAAAACCCCACAGCCTCCCAGCAATTCTGTTAAGAAACACAGCTACGAAACTGCTTTCTTCTCTCAAGGCCTTAAAAACACAGAGAAGGTACTGATCCCACACACTCAATGCTCTTTGCACAAAGCTCTGTGCATGGTCAAAGATCTTCCTGAAGAGAAATCACCACGCAGGGATGCTGGAGCAGGAAAGCAGCAGCAGTTACTCACCTTACAGAGGGGCAGCTGCAGCAGGGTCCACAGAGAGCCTCCAGGGCAGGGACAGCGGCTGAGCTCAGGGGCAGCCTGTGCTGGAGGAGGGGGCTCTGCTCTGTCTCCCACCATGGATGGATCCTCAGAACCAGGTCCTGGGTTCTGAGCTCAGGTCTGTCCGAGCTGTGTGGTGCCTGGTGCAAGGGACACAGGGCAGGTCTGAGGTGGCCTGACAAGGAGAGAGGTTGGCTGTAGACTCAATCAGCTCTTCAAGACCCCAAACTGATAGCCGGTACTGATAAAAAGGAAAAAGACAAAATAAAATAAAAAATAAAGGAAATTCAACATTTTTTTCTTTAAAAGAACCTATAATATTAGCAGCACTTTTATGTCCTATTAATGGATTGGGCCCTGTCTTAGTTACTTTTTGCTCATTGCTGAGACAAAATATCTGATGACCAAAGTTGGGAAAGGAAAAGTTTATTTCTTACAGTTTTTTGGAGGTTTTAGTCCATATTCAGTTGGCTCCAAGGCAGGGTGGCATGGCGGGGCCGCAGTTCATGGCAGCTGCAAACAGCAAGCCAGAAACCAGTGAGAGAGAGAGAGAGAGAGAGAGAGAGAGAGAGAGAGAGAGAGAGAGAGAGAGATCCTCTTCCACCCATTACATCACATCCTGGCTCCACCACTAGGTGGGTGTAGCACTGACACCATCAATCCAAGCGCTAGAAAATGAGCCAATCACAAACGCATAATGCAAACGCATGAGGCCTATGGGCCACTGACATAAATCATGACAGGCCCTCTTTTAGGTATATTTAGGTGATGTACATTGTTGAAGAAATTTCACAGAATAAGAATTAAGCTGTTGTAAGTGGTGAAAATAATATTTTCGTAGGGGCATTAGGAAGAGGAAAACAAATCCTAATACAGTTACTCTGTTTAGATTTTCTGCAGCAATGGTTTTAATTTTTACAGCACTGCATAAAAACAGGTCTGAAATTTTAGCAGATTATAATTATTCCACAGTGTACGGGATACTTTGTTTATGATAATAATACCTCCATGTATTTCTAGGATTAGTTTAGTAAGTTTCAGTCATGGTAGAGGCTGATACAAGCTTGACGAGTAGATTAGTGGGTGGTTCTCTCTGCAGAGACTGAGGGAAAACCTCAGAAAATAATACTCTCTGCTGATTTCTGGAATAGCCCAGATTTAATGACATTCATAGGATTTGGCTGTAGCCATGGGGCACAGATGAGGATATTTTAGGAGATATCATGCAATACAATAGGAAAATGCCTAAGGAGCCAGAGGGCTCAAAAAATACAAGATTCCCTAATAACAAAGAAAGGAAAAAATGTCAAATTTACCAGTCCTTTTAGACAGGCCATGCAGTCGTTTAGGTTTGAGTGTTTGGGGTTAACCCTAACCCTAACCCTAACCCTAAGGCGCAGCATCTGAGTGAGGAGGGTAGGGAAATTTCCTGCCCCAAGGGTCCAACCTCCCCTCCTGCAACCCTGAGCCCAGCATCAGCATTGGAACTCTAGGTGTCCCCTGGCCTCCACTTGCTGCTGGTCATGATCCTCCCTCACATTGGGTAAGTGACACTATTCCCTCCCCTTGATGGTGTCTTGTTTCCCTTCTCCACCCTTACTGACTCTCCAGATCAGCCAGAGTCATGCTGCAGAAAACCAAGTGCTGGTCATACTCACTCCCAGCCAGGAGCCAGGATCCCTGATGGTCACCCAATCTCAGATATGTCTGTTTTGATCTCCCCATCCACAGTCCTCATCCTCCAGTAACTGACAGGAAACATCCCCTTTGGAGTTCTCCCGGGTAACTCCTTGCACTCCAGTCACCTCCCCACTCACTTGCATTCTGAAAGGCCTAAAGCCTCCCCATCTTACTCCTGACCTGAAGCCAAAATGCCTGAGCTCTACAATACAGCTTCTCCAGTCTATGAGCTGGACAGCCAGCCCAAATGGGCACCTAAAAGACATTTAACTTTTTATTCTCCAGGATTCTGACAAGTTTTGTCATAGGCTTGCTTAGTGGTCTGAGGTCCTATTTGTCCAGGCATTTTTTTATTCCTCACAGGCTCCCCTTCCTCTGCACTTCCTGCACCCCTGCCAACTCCTTCTCATTTCCCTACCACCACTGCTCCCTCCTTGTGCCTCAGAAAGGATACACAAATACATGACTGTTCGTCTTGCTGAGGGACTCAAAACACCAGCCCGGAAATCAGTTGATGACTGACTTAAAACTGCTCAGTGTCTTGGTTACTTTTCTGTCCTCGCTGAGACAAAATACCTGATGCCCAAAATTAAGGAAGGAAAGGTTGAACAGGATGAATTCAGCCTTGATTGGAGCTCTCACCCTGGAAAAGGGAACAACAATAAACATTTACACAGACTCAGAGTATGCTCTCAACATCCTCCACAATCATGCAGCAATCAGGACAGAAAGGGGATTTCTCACACTGGGGACTCTCTGTGGTCAATTCCAACCTGATAAAGACACTCCTAGGGGCAGCGCTTCTGCCCACTCAGGCAGGGGTCACTCACTACACGGGATATCAAACACTCAAATCGCATGTAAGACCAGGAAACTCCTTTGCAGATCAGACAGCAAAGAGAGCCACTGCCTCCTACAAGTCTCCACTGCCTCTCAGGGCCAATACTGCTCCTCTGTAGGCTTCACCCCATTATACCACAGAAGAACAGATAGCAGTACACTCACAGCCCACTTCAGAGGGATGGCTTCTTGACCAAGGGAGCTATCTCCTCTCCACCTCCCAAACTCACCAAGTTGTTTCTTCCTTCCAGCACAGCTTTCATAGAGGCTACAAACTCCTCATCTCAGCTCCCTCCTGGAGGACAGCTATCAGACAGATCACCACATACTGTTCAATCTGCCACTGAGGGTCTCAGGGATCCCTCCATCCTGCTCCTTACCCCAGTCATCAGCCATAAGGATTCACACCTGCCCAAGACTAGCAAATTGGCTTTATAAACATGCCAAAAGTTTAAAAATTAGGTATCTCCTAGTCTCATAAACACCTTTCTCGGGATGGGAAGGAGACATCTTCCAAATGGAGGTAAGTCCTGGTTGCGCACCCTTCCTGGGCCTCTAGTCTCAGTCTCCACACTGTTGTTTGCTGGGCCTTGCCAAAGAGATTTATAACAGACTTCATCCAAGGACAAGGCTGACCCATGACAGACACGCAACTCCTCCCGATGACCCACTCCACCGCTGTCCCACAGGAAATCCATGCTGATCCAGGCCAAGATGCTGCCCACCACAGCAGCCAGCAGCCTCCAGTGCAGCAGAGCGCCCAGCCATTTTCCTCTGTGTGTTGCCCACACAGCCTTCAGTCACACTGAAGAAGCCTTGAGAAACTACATCCCTAGCTCTCTCTATAGCACAGCAGAGAGGGAGATTGGGTCTCTGAACTAGACCCCACCCACCTAGGAGTCAGAAACACCCTCCCCCACTTCCCCACCCCCGCAAGTTTGTTATTCAAGTTTGAGAGGTCAGTGAGAATCAGGAAGCCAGCAGCTTCCTCCTGCAGCTCCACCAGCTGGCAGCCTCCCCCACAGCTCAACCGGCAGACAGCTAATTCTCCTCAAAACCACAAGAGACACGTAGTGCCTTCCAGCACCCCCTGTACCCAGCACAGCCCTATCATAATGGGACCTTACACCCCCTACTCAGAGACCCAGAACTGTGTACCCCCCTCAGCAATGCCTCCCACCCCTATCTTATCAGCCCTATACAACATGCCCTCACCTCTCGGGGCCAATGGTCTTTGCGCCCCTGACCTGACCACATTTGCGCGTCAATAAAGTTATCACTGCTTGCTTCAGCCTTGCCTGCCTCAGCGGTCTCAGTGGAGTCCCAGTTTAGCCTAAAAATCTTGATTATCTGTCAGCCAATCCTGGGCTCCAGCAAGAAGGTGATAATTGGATTGTTTCCTATTTTCTACACGCAATGCAGGTGAATGAAATGACAGACTCAGTTTCCTGCATTCCTGTCCTTCACCTCTAATAATCACAAAGGACCAGGCTCACTGCTGTCCTCTCGCCATGGCCGCTCATCCCAGAGGGCAGACACACAGTCCTTCAGCCACCTGTGAGCCCACAAGCACCTCCCCCCCATCCCCGTGTTACTTCTGGGCGAGGGTCTCCCGGGTACTTGTCTGGTGTCCTCCACAGCAGGGCCAGCGAGGAGAACCGGAAAGAAACGGGAGCTGGCTGCAGATGACGTTTGCGCTTTGTGTACACCCACACCCCTTAGCTCTGCAGCAAGAGGCTGCCTCCTCGCTCCACTTAGCAAGGATAATTTTTCCCGATGTAGAAAACCCGGTTTTGCCCGGTTGACCAATTTTTTTTTCTTTTTATAAAAACGTCTACATTTTTAATGAACATAATAATGTAAACTTGATTCTACTGAGCTTGTCACTTTTAATGGGAACAAACACTGTCTCTAAAAGGCAGGGCCCGCTCTCGGCCCCCAACCCCCACACCAGACCCGCCCTCTCTCCAGGCTGAGTCTCCCAGGGCTCACAGCGCTTTGTGTCCCCACCGCGCATGCTCTGGGCCTGCTCAGGCCCTGGCTGCTGAGAGCTGAGCTGGAAGGGTCCCACACCAGGAAGGCTTCTTGCCCCAGCTGTGCTGCGGACCCATCCCCCCAACAGTTCCCCTGCAGCTGTTAGAGATGCTGGGCCAGCGGCAGGCACTCAGCCTCTACCTTTTCTGCTCCCTGCCAAGCAGGAGTTGTTCATTGCTGTGAGCTCCCTGCCCCTCTCCCCGCCCAGAGAGGCCTGAAGAGATCGCTTTGCAGAGCTGGTGCTGCAGGGAACTGGGGACAGCTGGGTGAGAAGCTCAGCAGCAGGAAGCAAAGAGCTGTGTGTGTTTAACAGCCCAGATGCCTTTGCTGGGGTCTGCGGTTCCAGACAGCACACCAGAGTGAGTGACAGCTCCGGTCCCTGTGCAACAGAGAAGCAAAAATAAAAAAATAAATACCCGATATAAGTGGAAACCATGGTGCTGGACACGCATCTCTGAGGTCACCCTGGGGAGTGGGTTCAGGGTCACTGGTGCCCTAGTCGCCCAGGAGCTGACCCTGAGCTCCATGCCAGCAGCTGAGGACTCACAGCTCCCACGATGTGGGTGTCTTTCTCATCTGTGCTCCACTGAGTTCCGCTCCAACTCAGTTGAGTTTTTTGTGCTACCAAGTCTCCACCCACGGTGTTTGCTTTGCCCCACCACGGCGGACCATAGGTAGAAAACATGGAGCAGGATAATTCTGTCAGGGCTTCTGTCCTCCAAGAGGAAGAAAGAAAAGAGGGAAGGAAGGAGAGTCTGTCCTGTGCCTGAGCTCATCTGGAACACCACAGTGAGCACTTGAACATAGGAAGCTAGGATGCCCAGGAAGGGCAGCAGCAGAATAATAAGTCCACTCAAGAGCATGGTGTCATACTGGGAAGTGTCCTGACTTACTGGGAGGTGGCAGCAAAGAGGGAACTTTACAGAAAAAGTGGTTAACGAGCCGAGACCCACAGAAGGAAAGCTGGAAGACATACAGTGTGTGTATTAAGGAGTTGATAGCACTGCTGGACCATGCACACGTGATCAGGGAGCAGCAGATCTTGCTCATGAGGACAGCATAGCACAAAGGATGGCAGATGGCTACATAACGGTCATAGGACATGAAGCCTAAGAGAACAGCTTCACATCCACCAAGGCTCAGTACCATAAATGTCTGAATCTCACAACCCGAGAATGTGATGGTCTTGGTGTTCATCAGGAAGTTCGTAGTCATCTTGGACACAGTGTTGGAGATGTGCATAATGTCAATGAGGGAGAGCTGAGTGGGCAAGAAGTACATGGGCGAATGGAGCCTACTGTCCACTCGGATGAGGTGGACCAGCACAGCCACCAAGAAGAAGACAATAGCAGCAAAGAGAAAACCATTCATGCTGCCATTTTGGAAAAGACCAGCCAGCATAAAGTCTGTCCCAGAGATTTGACTTCCTGTTTTCATGGCTTAAATTAACAAATAAAAGCAGATAATGTATCTATGGAATGTGATTTTTTTTTTTTTTTTGTCTTTTCCCTTTTTACCAGTACCAGGGATCAAACTCACAATTGCCTGCTTGCAAGGCAGGCGCTTATGCCACTGAGCTAAATCCCCAGCCCCTGTGATTATTTTTTGAAGAACAAAAAGAATAATTAAATACAAAACGTGTTTCTGTAATTACTTTAGGTGAAAATACAATGTCTGCTATTAGGTACAGTAAACACGACTGTATTGAATTATAGTTGTTTTTGCTTATTTTTGAGTTTTACTGCAGTTGGTATGAATAGTTACAGGTGTAATGCGGAACCTGTGGTGTTTCAGTTAATGTATCAGTGAATACAGATTAAGATGAAAAGACTCTCATTACTGTTCCCTGAACTGTAGGAAATCTAGGTTTTTTTTTTTTTTTTTTTTTTTTTTTTTTTTTTTATTCTTTGGGACTTCCAATTCCTCTTTTCAGATCTATGTAAATTGCAATGGAAAGTGAAAATAAAAATGTTTACTGAAAGAATAAATTATAAAGGAATTTTTAATCATTTTGATGATGTGTTTGCCAAAATTCCATTTTCCATTTGTGTGTACATTAGGGTGATGGATTAAATGGTTGTTCACTAATGAAAACATTCTGCTCAGTTCTTTCCTATGAGTAACATTTTGTCAAATAATGGTTGCTGCATAGTGGTGTAAATTTCAATGAAGTTATACTTAATCTTTATTTTACTTTTATTGGTTATAAGTAGGAATAAAAACTTCAGTAATATTTGTTTGAAGATGATATTGTACCCTAATGAAGTATGAGTTGGTATGCCTTGTTTTTCTTGTAAAAACTTTATAGGTTTGACCAACCTGTTAGCCAAAATAAGGGTAAATTTGAAATGAGTCATCTAAATTTAGCTTAACACTTATGAGTCTTCAACTGAAGCATGCTGCAAAGATTGTTCAATTCAAAGATAAGAACTGAAATGTTTCTTTCCGACACAAATTTGCTTTTATACATTCTTTAGGTAAATATTACCTTCTAATTATAGATTTTATGTTCTAAAACTACACTGAGTTGTGGTCTGAAACATTATTGTCCGCTCTCAGGGTTTACTGGGTCTAAAATAAAGAAATATCATGGTGGTAATTTGTCATTTTCAAAAGATTATCTGGTTACCATATTTTGGCAGAAAACCTTCATTGATCTAAAATATTTAAAACTGAAGGAAAAAACTTACTAAAAATAGGCAACAATTCAAGTATGTATGTTTTATGTAAATCATGTTCTTTCTTTTTGTTGTAGTCTGAAATATTTTCACATGACTAACAAGAAACATACAATAAAGAAACATTTAATATGATAATGAAATATTGTATACTCTAAAAATATTGCAATAACCAATGCTCCATATCACAAACTATATAAAATAAATATCATCAGGTGGTAACTTTTAGTGAAAATCCATGAAAATTCAATCTATATTTCTAA